TTTTGGCTCCATGCTGTTACTTAGAATTACATTTGAAGAAGTCAAAATAGGGATTTGTAGTTTGATTAAATGATGTCTACAGTATCTCGAGCCTTGTTTGCTTACTTTTTTACGATCCCTATTTGCAGTTTTTAAATTCCCATTTATTTTGTTCGCCGCCTTTTTTATGCTCGGCTATGGGCAAAGGATTACTTAACATGGTAGCAAATTCTATACATTGTAGTTATAATAAACATAACTAGTAACTAGCTGATATAGTTCATGATGATTTATTGTAGCACTTGACTATTTTATTACATTACTTCGAGATGTAAAATATTCAGCTGCAGCAGGAGATTGTCATGGAGATTTGTTTGAGAATATAGTGAGCATTTACAGTTTCTGTGTAACTAAATTCTCTCTATATAATGCATAGACTAGGACACAACCCTCTTTAAGCGCGTGTAAAATTTTACCAGCAGAAAAGCAGCCTTTTTAAATAAACCTTAATGTCTTTTAAAGTAATTATTCTACGAATGTGTGTGATAAAATATAACATTGACTTTTTTTTACTCCTCCACATCATACATAACATGGGAGTTGACTCCATAAAGACATTGACTGTATAGTGTACAAAGCATGTTACAGTCATCTAATGTCCATGTATTACTTGCTGGTAATTCCTGCTTCACCCTGTATTTAAGCTTTTTAAAGAAACATCAGATGTTTGTAAAAAAGCTAACTTCAAGGGGGTAATGATAACATTGTTTGCACTCGAATTATGATGTTTTTAGCTTACGTAAAATATAGAAGAAACAAATAAGCTTTTCAATACCTCTAAGACCTTCGCAATACCTCATTTAGTATTCTACAGAAGGGTTGGGTGCAATATACCAAGCCGTTTTTGTTGTAGGCTGGCAAGATAATAATAAGAAGAATTATAAACGAGCCGTTTTGAGCGGATTTTCTTTTCCTTGTAAGTCTAACATGCGTGGTATTTTTGTACATTTTTATATGTGTACAACATTAGCAGTCAATAGTAGAGGTTTTAAAGTGTTATTTGAACTGAATATTTACTGTTTAAAGTGATTTTTGTCCGAATGTTCTATTAGAGTTTAGTGCAATTCCTTGCGATCCCTATTATGAACTACTATCGTGGTTCGTGATACAGTCAATACTTGTCGAGATATTCTCGCATTAAACGTAACTTATTGATGTCCAGTTCTTCTGACTTTACATCACAATTCATTCACTTCATCCCGAATTCAACTTACAATGCATCGAACTTTCACCACGGCATGTTCAACTACCCTCATTATACACTGAAAGCTCACTAGTTATTCAAATGTCTACATGCTACAAACATCTAACAGTGTTTCTTGTTGTTAATGCCATTAATAATGGCCATAGAAGTACCATACTGACAGATGGCGCGCATACAGTATAATAATTAAATGGTGCATTTCCACATGCAATAATACATGTATTCAAAGTCATACGAACGCAAAGTAGTGTAAATACTGAAACAACACTAGACAATTCTTGTGGTTTACAACGCCTACGTTGGCGAAGTTGATCGGTAGTTTGTGTGAATTTACCTCACATTTTAAGATTGATAATTTCTATCAAACTTTCTTTATTGATACTATATGGATTGCATTTAAAAATTATATATCACTTCAAACAAACACACAGCGTGTCGCACGCACTGCTGACGAGGTTTTAGCTCAACACCAGAGCTCATCAGGTGTGTTTTGTGCTGTCTGTTTTCTTCGGTTCTACTAGGATGAAATTGTTTGGATCTTCTGGTGTTTGTTTAAAATTATCTTCGTATACTTCTTTTTGTTTCCCTGGTTGGTCATGTGGATTTCCATGTGCTTCTTTGTGTAGGTATTTTGTTGTGTTCTTCTAGTATTGATTTTTCTGCGTGTTCTTCTGGTTCTGTAGTGTTAGTAATTTCCATTGGTGAGTTTACTGTTTGTGTGTTTCTTTTTGTTGGCTTAACAGCTTTCTTTGTTTTGCGTGCAACTAACATTCTTTCGCGGTAGTCTTTTTTTTGGCTAGTGTTACTAGTGTGAGTTCTGGACTGTAAGATTCTGGCGTATCTATAGTCAAACCAGCCTTACCTGAAGCGTTGCTCCCGCTCGGCGTTGACATTAATCCTGCTGGGGGCTTTTAGAGGCGACTCTGTCGGCGTGCTTTTGCCAGTGAGGGTACTTTGTATTCGATTTCCTGCCCGCTGAGTTGAGCTGCAGGTACGTCTTACTTCGTTCACGACCAAAACCCCTCTCTCTCTGTTCCTCGAAACGTTATTTACATTCGTCATTGTTTTGTTTTGAATTTCGCGCAAAGCTACACGAGGGCTATCTGCGTTAGCCGTCCCTAATTTAGCAGTGAAAGACTAGAGGAAAGGCAGCTAGTCATCACCACCCACAACCAACTTTTGGGCTACTATTTTACCAACGAATTATGGGATTGACTGTCACATTATAACGCCCCCAATGTTGAAAGGACTGTTTAATGGGACGGGGTTCCAACCCGCGACTCTCAGATTACGAGTCAAATGCCCTAACCACCTGGCCATGCCGGACCTACATCTGTTATTTACAAAGAAATGCAAATTATTATGGTATGTAATGTCTAAACATTACTGGTAAGAATATAACAGTATTTCAATCGCACTCTTTGTATGTTCTAACCTGCTGACGCTTATCATCCAATAACAACGCGTTATAACAGTTTTGATAGGTATCTATCTATTTTTTACCCCTCACAATAATTATCTAGTATTGCATGTGTGATATCACATATAATGAGACTGATAAGAATTTAACAAAACACATAACAATGTTTTGGGACAACAAGGGACCTATTGGTCCATTTCGACTGTCCCATCCTCTAAACTAAGCTATTCAATAAATAAATATAAAAAATATTAAAGCCAGACATTGTCTATGCATTTGTATTAAACATTTTTTTTTTTACTGACTGTATACAGGTTTCTATTAGTTTTAAACTAGTGGCTTATGCGATCGACAGCCCCATTTATACCAATGTGAAATATGTGGGAAAAAAAACTGATGCCTTTGGCTGCAACATGTAACAACTGTAGCATTTACACCCGTCCGATACCCTTCACACTTCTGTGCAATTTCACAGTTTGCGAGATATGATGTTCTGAACCGTGAATCTTTCTTAATTATCACCCTGTACAAGACGTAGTTGAAATTTGCGATTTTATTACGTTAAAAACATTTACAAAAAATATATAAACATGGAAAAAGTTGTTGTACGTTTTTTTCAGATTATTGTCAAAGCGAATAAATGTTATAATTCTATCGTTTGTTTTTGGATCTTTGAGAAGGTAAGAATATAGTCAAATTTCATGTTAAATTCAAAAATAAAAAAGCAATAACATCGACATGTAGCAAACATTATAACAAATATAAATAACCCATTTAACTCCTAACTGCTCCGAGTGTAAAGCGATTTTCATGTTAAGATTAAAAATACTTTTCTCCATCCAAAATTTAACAAGTTACTTTTGTGTAATCTTTAAACCTCCTAAATATATTTCCGACCTTTTTTTCGATAAATCTTCATATTTTATATGCTATATTCACTACCCTAATTTTAGGTGAAGTCGGTCAGTTTGACCAGCCTCGTAACCACCACAAAAATACAAAATTTTCCTTTTTGTGAAGCACTTCAAATTGTAGCAGGAAACTACATTTGCTTACACTAAATAACTTAAAGCTCTAAACATTATACATCTATTTCTAATTAAATATTATTGTCAAGACTGTCAAACTTTGTAATATACCGTTGGTAAAACTTCTGTATCTAAATACGTATCGTATCGCGGCATCAATATCTAGATACTGTTGCGTCAGCGAGTCACATGGCCACTGTGGCGCCCTCTAGTTTCTAGAACTATCTTGTTCTTTCAGGAATGCTCAAGTAATTGCTAGATATAGGGTAGGCTGGTATATAAAAGAAGGGAATGTAATGTGTGTGTAGATAGTGAGTAATTGATCTGCGGTCGGAGTATTATTGACGTTCGTTGCTATAGCGTTTGTTTAGCGCGATTGTTGAGTGTATCGGTTAAGTTATATTCGGAAAGAATAAACCAGTTTTATTAAGTAAAGGCTTGTGTCGCGTAAGTTTCGTCGGTACGAAGTTACGGAAATTACTCACTATCTACACACACATTACCTTCCCCTCGTCACGTTGTACCCCTCTTATATATACCAGCCTACCCTATCTAGTAAATACTAGAGCATTCGCCAAAGTACAGGATAGTTCTAGAACGTGGCGTCACAGTAGTCATGTGACTCGCTGACGCAACAATATAATGAAGGTTCTTACACAACTGTACAGATGTTATACTTACAGTAAATACATACATACAAATAGTAGCAACTAATCATGACTATCACATAATGAAGGTTCTTACATAACTGTACAGATGTTATACTTACAGTAAATACATACATACAAATAGTAGCAACTAATCATGACTATCACATAATGAAGGTTCTTACATAACTGTACAGATGTTATACTTACAGTAAATACATACATACAAACAGTAGTGTCTAATCATGACCATCAACTGACGAAAGTTCTTAAACAACTGTACAGATGTTATACTTAGAGTGAGTACACACATAAAAACAGTAGTGACTAATCATGACTATCACCTGACAGAGGTTTTTATATAACTGTACAAAAGATAAATTTACAATAAGCTATTACTTACAAGCAGCACCAACTCCAATAAATACTGATGCTAGGTAAAGACCCCAAGTCAGAGGGTAGAGAAAGTTTGATATAAACACGCTGTAGAAAGATTGAAAAATGTCTTCTTCAGTCACATCTTAGGTTACGTTAACAACTAAATTTTTAAACTATAAAGATTCTAATGCCTTCCACGTAAGGCTTCTTACAGAAGAATTGAAATAACAGAATAGAAACATACTGTTACGTCTCCGTTTTTTTTAATTAACTTATTTGAACTGCAGTCAGAAGTATTGTAGACGTTCGTTGTTACAGCGTTTGTTTAGCGCGATTGTTGAAGTTGAGTGTATCGGTAAAGTTATATTCGGAAAGAATAAACCAGTTTTATTAAGTAAAGACTTGTGTCGTTAAAGTTTCGTCGGAACGAATTTACGGAGAGTTAATTAACAAACGGAGACATAACAATATGATAGTCATGATTGGTCATTACTTCTTGTATGTATGTATTCACTGTAACTATAGATTTGTAAGAGTTTATATCTGTTGGTAATCAGTAACTAAAGTAGAAATTCTCTCAATTAGTGTAAACAGAGTCTAATTGAAATTTTAACCTGCTACTGTTTAGTTGTAGAAATGTAATAAAGGATATTATAATGTGAGAAGTTTTCTGACAAAAGAGAAAACAGATTACCTGAGATGTAATTGTGACTCTTTTTTACTGAATAGTTGATTTAACTGAGACAATTAGTCTGGTGAAAGCATTAGTGGCTTTTACTTCAGAAAATAGAAGAAGAAAAAAATTGTAGGATGTTTGAAGTACACAAGACTGTGGTAAGAACTTTTCTTCAGCTTTTTTCCAAAATAGTTGTAACAAACAAAGTGAAAACACAAGACTTCCTATATTCAAGACAAGGTAATGTAATTGGCTGAAGCTGTTTCCCATTAAATTAAAGACTGTTGTGGGTTTTACTTACGATTAGACTCGGCTATCACTACTTCAAAATAATTCTCATGTCATTAACATAATTTAGATATTATTTCTAAAAATATAAATTTTTGTGGGTTTTATGAAATGTGTTATTCAAATGTGATAAATATTTTAATAGACAAATGATAAACATCTTGCTGTTGAATGTGAGTGTTATTTAAACATGCTCGTGATACAGCTACCTATATTAATACTGTTTATCAGTGATCTGGAACGGACAAGGAAGTTTCTTAACGTCGAATTCTGATTCTGAAACCATGTCTAGGAATAGTGGTATTTTCTGGGCCATGCTGCAGTGTAGGTGAGTTTAAGTATTCTATTTGATTAAATCTTGTATGGTTAAATTGCATCTTCATTTACTGATTTGACAATTACGGTTCTCCCAGGTTATAATGCAAGTTGTGAGGGAGCTCCCATTTCTCTGTGGGTGCATTTTATTTTAATCTGACAGCTAGACCAATGTTTTATCTGTATACCAATTAAAAATCATTCCACAATTAACAAGAGTAACCACAAGAAATTGGTGAAAATCATGCTACATACACTTAATTGGAATTGGTTTAGTGCAGTTTCATTATTTATGTAGAACATTTCAGTTAGTGTTAGGCCTAGTGTATGATGATCTTGTTACGTACAAAAGCATGAATGTTTTATTGATGAACAAGATTGTATTCCCATCAGTTTGTAATCACATTTAGTGCTCTTAATATATTTTGTGCTATTCCTAAAGTGTGTTTCTGCTATATTTATGAACAAAAATCACTTGTATTAGAACTGATTCATGTATCATTATTTGAGCACAGCAATAGGCGTGACCACCTAAGTTGTGTTACAGCTTCCAGTGACACACACCTTGTTAATCTAGAGATTTAATATAAACTGTGTTTGATTTTTTGTCAGACCAATAAGGATAAAAGTAACTACTCAGTTTCCATCATTTCAACTGTTGTGTTATAACCATGTCCTACCTTGTTGCTTCTAGTGATTCCACACTTTGTCTACCACCACCTTTCATAATGAGGATGAAAATCAGACCAAGGCAACAAATTCCAAAAAGGACTCCAAACACTAACATCCTAGAATGATAAGAAACGTGTTCCTGTCCTTGGAACTGGAAGTAGACGAACAGGTTCCCAAATAGAAGGCTGAAAAATACATTTCATTAACAGCAATAATTGGAAAAAACATGATAATAATAAATTAGTAGTATATAACTTCTACACAAGGTATGATATTGTTACGACAGCGGAAGTCACGTGACGCTGGTAACATGTATTGAGTATCTCAAACGTTCTTGAAGGCTCGAGCATTTGCAAGACTCGCGCTTTGATAGTATATAAGCCGGCAAATAAAGTGATGCAAGAATTGAATAGCAGACAGGGAGACAGAGACAGATAATCGAGTCAAGCCATAAGTAAAGTGCATGAATCGTTGTGAATTATAGCGTGTGTTTAAGTTAAAGTGACTGTGGAAATTAAGTGTATTGCAAAGGTCTACTGAGAAAGAATAAACTAGTTTTATTTAAGAAAGGACTTGTGTCACTAAAGTTTCATCTGAAAGAAATTATACGGGAAACTAATAAACGACCAGAGACGTAACAATATGTTTTATAACACAACAGTGTATGATATAACTTATACACAAGGTATGATATTGTTGCGTCATCGAGATCACGTGACTATTCTCACGCCCTCTAGTTTCTAGAACTATTCCGTACCTTGGCGAATGCTCTAGTATTTACTAGATAGGGTAGGCTGGTATATATAAGAGGGTGACAACGTGACGGCAATAATGTAATGTGTGTGTGTAGATAGTGAGTAATTGAACTGCAGTCAGAAGTATTATTGACGTTCGTTGATATAGCGTTTGTTTTAGCGCGATTGTTGAAAATAAGTGTATCGTAAAGTTGTATTCGGAAAGAATAAACCAGTTTTATTAAGTAAGGACTTGTGTCGCTAAAGTTTCGTCGGAACGAAGTTACGGAAAGTTAATTAACAAACGGAAACGTAACAATATGTCATATGGCGAGACAGTGTGTCGATGTATCCAAGACAATAGCATATAACAAAGTCATATTCCTGCAACATTGTGATCCAATGTGAAGCCATCCACTTTGGATTTTTAAAGTTTTTAAGGCACTTGAGTGAACTCTTGGTGCACTCAAATGGTAAACTTTCTGCCAAACAGGCGGTGTTGGTAATGTTTAACAAAATCCACAACTGCAGTCCACAATCAGGACCTTCAAGAAATGGACGGGGCCTCAATGTATGGCCAGACAGTGTGGCGATGTTTCCATGTTGTTGGCCAAGATTATGGTATACAACAAAGTCACACCTGTAACATTGTGAATCAATGTGAATATTTCCTTCTGGATGTTTAAAATTCTTAAGCCACTTGATGCTATGGAAGATATTTAAAGTTTCGGACCATTGGAAACTTTTTAACGCGCCCAGACAATTATCTGTCCACAGGAGAGGAAATTAAAGGACCAATTCGAATTTTTGCATCACCTATTCGAAATCAACACAGAATCTCGAGGTACCCTTCTTCCTGACATTAACTATTGGAGACGACCATATACTTTTTAAAGGGTGTATGTTTCATTTATAGAATGGACATTTTTCTTCTTATATTAACTTTGATAATGAAAAATCAAGAGTCGCCTGTACGGTTAAGATATTATCTATTGCTATCCAGTTTATATGTTGTTATTTCATGTTTATAATCTTATCAAGGCTACTAATATAAAAGTTTTACCTTTACAATACTTTGTTTAACACATGTCATTCAAAATTGAATTACTGTGCCTGAAGTTAGTTTTGTTCCGGTTTCTTTTAATTAGTTTCGTAGGTGAAATACAAATATATGAAAAATGTAAATATACAAACGAACTAAATTACGTTTTATTAGATAAGTATTTGTGAAAGAATTTGTGTTAAAGAAGAAAAACAGAAAATAGACATAATTATTAACTAGATCTTTACGTTAATAAATGCCTAAAATTATTATTATAATTGTGTATATTTGTTTCTTTTAATTCTGAAATAATGCTGACAAAAGTGACATTTACGTTTGAAGTTGCTTTTCTAAGTTCTCTCTTATTTATTTCTACTGTTTTATAGATGACCATATATGAATTAAAGAGAAGTGGCGGGAAAGTAATTTTATTGTAGCGAATAGTTAGCATTAGTGTTGTTCAACCAATCCTATTGTGGGAATATGTTTTCACCAACGAAGTTTTATAGTACTAAAAGGTTTTGAATTAAATGTATTATAATTTTTTATTTGCATTAGATTCTTTATGTAAACGTATAAGTATAAATACGATTTATTTAAGCTCATTGACATAAAAATAAATTTAACACCTTTAGTGTTTACTACTTAAATGATCTACTTTAGTTTGGGCTTTAAGTTTAACGTAATAACAAGTGATATGGCTATGCTAACTAACTTAAACTATTACTATTAGTAACAATAGTGTTACTTATTAACATTAGTTTTGCCATTGGCCTACTGACATAATTACAAGTTATACAGCTCAAGTACGGTGTCGGCTTAACTTATGTACCATTAGTTCTGATGTCATTACTAGCACTAGTAATACTAATAGTGTTATTATTAATATTATTATATATATTATGCTGTCAGTGTCAGTCAAAAAACATTCGTGCCCATTGTCTCCAACATTGACATTACAGTTTGATTATTAAAAGTTGAGGTTTAAACATGTAAGCTGGGAAGGGGGTTATATGATTTATAATTATATTTATCATCTTTGCAAGCCAGATTTAGGTCAGATGAGGCCTGAGGCTTACATATAACTTAATGGTAACTAGTTCTTCAACTGAACTAAAAGACTAACTAAATTAACTAAAACAGGTTGAATAAAAAGATTTTTTCTAGCTCTCCTTGTAGCAAACTATAAAGTAAAGTCATTAAACTCACTGTGGATACACTGAAGGATATCGTGCTCAATTGACAAAAGTGTGAGCATATTGAGGTGGTTTTTATGTATGGAAGACCATATGTATGCTTTTTTATCAGCTGAAGTTTAAAAAAAAGAACATTATCCTAAAAACACTCAAAGCATCATCATTGACTGAAAAAATCAAGTCTCAAAAAGAAAATGCAATCGGTTTTCCTAAATATTAAAATAACAATGTTTTGGGACGACATGGGACCTGTTGGTTCATCTCAGCTGTTCCATCCTCTAAACAAAATTAAAATAATTTAAAAAAAAATCTTAAAGCCAGCTCTTATCATTCATATGCTTATCAAGCTTTTTCTTAAACTCACTTAAATGTACTACCTTTACAACATTTGAAGGCAACCCATTCCAAAGGCTAACCATTCTGTTAGAAAAATGAAACTGCCCTAGCTGAAGATGACTTATACCTTGGCAGAATTTATATTTGTGTCCCCTAGTCCTACTATTTTCGCTGTTAAATATGAAAAAAGATGATGCATCAACACAATCAATTCCCTTTACAATCTTAAATACCTCAATCTAATCCTCACCCCCCCCCCCACACTTTTCTTTTTTCAAGAGAAAACAATTTGTTAGATTTCAGCCTCTCCTCACATAATAACTCTTCTGTCCCAGGTTCATTCTAGTAACCGTTCTCTGAACCTGTCCAAGAATTCAATGTCGTTCCTAAGGTAAGGAGCCCAAGACTGAACACAATATTCCAAATGTGGCCTAACCAGTGACCTGTACAATGAAATTATAACCTTTTTTAGACTTGTATTCAATATTTCTGTAGATACAACCTAAAATCTTATTTGCTCTACCACAAGCAACAGCACATTACTTGGATGGCTTTAGAGACTGATCGACTGTTACACCAAGATGCCTTTCCTTCATAACACTGTTAAAGTTATTCCCATCCAAATTGTACTTATAATTCAAATTATGATAACCCACATGCATTGTTTTGAATTTATTATAATTAAAAATCCATCTTCCATTTATTTGCCCAACCCACTAAATGATTTAAATCTTATTGTAAATCAGCAGCATGCTCTCCATAGCTAGCAACACACAAGACTTTATCTGCAAATTTAAGTAATTTATTGACTATTCCTTCATCTATGTCATTGGTGTAAATCAGAAAGAGCAAAGGTCCTAAGACTGAGCTCTGAGGTACCCCACTTGTGACATTAATTCAGTTTGATTGACCTCCATTTGTAACCACCCTCTGCTTTCTACTATCCAGCCACTCTTCTATCTAATTTGTTAACTTATCTCCATGCCTATAAAGAAAATGTTTTTACAAGCCTTTTATGTGGCACCTTGTCAAATGCTTTCTGAAAACCCAATACACCAAATCTACACCCTTACTCTCATCTACATAAGCATTAACCTTTTCAAAGAATGTCAGAAGTTTTGCAAGGTAAGATTTTCCCTTAGTGAAACCATGTTGACTATCCAATAAATTTCTAAACTTTGTTAAATGACTTTGCAAAGCATCTTTTAACAGACTTTCCAAAACATTTCCCACAACTGATGTAAGACTGATGGGTCGATAATTACTGGGATAATTTTTATCACCTCCCTTGAAAAGAGGAATTACATCAGCTAAATTTCAATCTCCTTGTATCTGCCCACTATTCAAGGACTGACAAAAATAGTAGTAAATGGCTCACATATCCAATTTTTAACTTCCTTCAAAACCCTTGGGGAAATATTATCTGGCCCAGGAGCCTTATCGTTTTTTGAACTTCACAATTTTTTCCCAACCAGATCAGAATTAATGCAGTCATCTTGTTTGATTTCATTCCCATTTATCAACTGTTCAAGATATGGAATACTGCTTAAAGCTTAATTAGTAAAAACCAAAGAAAAAGGAAAATTTAATAACCCAGCCATCTCATAATCGTCAGATACTAGCCTTCTTTTATAATCCCTCAAGGGTCCTACACCCATCCTAACACCTTGTTTTCCCTTAATGTATTCAAAAAAATCCTTACTGTTAAGTTTGACATTTTCAGCCAACCTTTTCTTATACATTCTTTTTGATGTTTTAATTTACTCTTTCACCAGCTTTCTTGATCTTCTGTGATCTTTTAAATCTCCTGTCATACCAGTCAATTTAAATTTCTTATATTTATGATGCTTTTCTTTAATTTTATCACTTAAACTCTTTATAGCCAACCTGGTGTTTTACTTGCAATGACCCATTTCTTTCAATTAGGA